ATTTAGGCCACATATGGCCTAAATAAGCTAAACCCCCCTCCCTTTACCTTATTTAGGCCACATCTTATAGTAGATTTCTTGAACTAACCATGGATTCGGAAGGTCGAGATTCTACTGATCGTTTTATTTAGTGCGGGGGATTATTTCAAAATAGAGGATGATACTAAATGAAAAATGGACCAAGGGTAAAAGTTGTGTGTCTGTGTGTGTGCGTATGTGTGTGTGTGTGTGTGTGTTTGTGTGTGTGTATGTGTTTGTTTTGTGTGTGGTTGTGATGAGAGAGAGAGAGATCTAGAGAGAGAGAGAGAGTAAATGTAATAGTGTGTTTGTATGTGTGTGGGTGTTTGTGTGTGTGTGTGTAATGTGTGAATGTTATTGTGTGCATGAGTGTCTATCTCAGTAGTACGGTCCAAATGTACATTATTTTGTTGAGAATTTTACATAGAACTCAACTACAAAACACCTTTATACAAAGTCACAGAAATATTCTTTTTGTGCTTATTGAGGTACAGTACAGGGTGATTTTACCTGTAAGGATAATTGGACAAAATGGGCAATATCTTTATTGCTAATGGTCATATTTAGACAAATCCTATATCATTTTCTTTTTTTTAATTTTCTTAACTGCTCACAGTTATTAAAGAGTAAGCCAACTAGATCAAGGTAGTAATTTCAGATTCCTAATACTAATATTATGGGCATTCTTAAAATATTTTAACTTGTTTTTAGCGCTTTTCTCAACGTAAAACGGATTCCGTTTAAAAAAACACAACAACAATGACCTTATCTTTCTTTTTCAAAGTATTGTGCTTACATTTGTGTGAAACTATATTCTACGCTTTTAAGTACATGAAAAAAGCTAATAAAGTCAAGCAAAATGTTTTTCAGAGACATAGATTTAGTAGTAGGCCCACTGGAACATTTTATAAACTGTGAAAAGATGACCAGAAAATAACAAAATTATCTTATGATCTTCACTTGCACTTGCAATTTTTTGGACAAATTATAGTCTACCTCTTTATCTTTTTTTAAAAAACATTTTTTTCTTCACTATTCATGACAATTGGCATGTATTGTTTTCAGTTATTACCAAGGAAGTGGATAGGCGGACCACGGGGTCTATCTAGCCAAAAGGATAGGTGGACCCCGGGGTCTACCTAACAAAATGCTAGGTTTTAGGATGTGAACCCCGGAGTCAGTGTAGTGAAATAAGCAGGTCTAGGTTTAACTAAGGATCGGTGGACCCCGGGGTCAACATAGTGAAATAAGTAGATCTCAGTTTATTTTATAGTAGGACTGGCGGAGCCCGTGGTCAACGTAGTGAAATTATAAGTAGATCTAGGTTTAATTAAGGATTGGTGGACCCCGGGGTCAGCATAGTGAAATCAGTAGATCTAGGTTTAATTAAAGATTGGTGGAACCTGGGGTCAACGTAGTGAAATAAGTACATGTAGATCTAGGTTTAATTTTAAGGATTGGTGGACCCTGGAGTCAACGTAGTGAAATAGGTAGGTTAAAGGTGGACCCCAGGGTCTACCTAACGAAATACTAGTTAGGTTTTAGAATAGGTGGAACCTGCGGTCACCGTAGTAAAATAAATAGGTTTAATCAAGGTGTCCCGGGGGTCCACCAATCCTTAATTAAACCTTCTTATTCCTCTACGGCTATGGTGACTGCGGGGTCCACCAATCCTTTTAAAATTAACCCTAATTATTTCACTACGCTGACCTCGGGGTCCAGCAATCTTTAAAGCAACCTACTTATTTCACTACGGTGACCCCGGGGTCCACCTTTCCTAAAATCTAGTATTTCGCTAGGTAGAGCCAGAGCAATGGCAATTTGAGCCCAATTGTATTAATATTCTAAAAAAGAGTCCTACATTTCTTTAGTGTGCAAAATAATGATATATTTTGTAGTGTAAAAATAGTAAGACTGGGGTCTGGGCTATAATTTGAGAATCGCGATAAAACAAAGTCCCATAAACTTCGAAATTGTGTTTCAAAACTGATCTTTGACTGAATCAAAACTTCCGATTTTCGATGGAAATGCTTGACCCGGAAGTCAACATTATATTATGACCTTTATTTTAACATGGATATGTGGATTGGAATAGAATCTACGCTGAAATGGAAGATCGGTTTTCGAGCCGCCGGGGGCGGCTTAGCGTACTGACGGCACTTTAGCCGCGCCGCCCCCCACGGCTCAGCGTAGCGAATGAGTTAAGTATTTACTGTAAACTGCCCTGGAAATTTAGTGAGGCAAAGTGAGAAGAACTGTTCTTAATTTGTTACTGAAAAAAAAAGAAATTTAATTTGTACTTTAAGGTTCTCAGCTGAGTAAAAAAAATGTTTCTTTTGTTCTCAGCTTTTAAAAAAGTATTGATTTTGATATATATATGTATTCTCAGCTGAATGTGCTGCTGGAACTTATGCTGTTGATGATGAATGTGAGTTTTGTGACATCGGCTATTACCAGAATGAGACTAGACAGACGGAATGCA